TAGGTTAGTAGTAGTAGTAGTAGTAGTAGGTAGTAGTAGTGTACGGGAGGTAGTTGGTTGGGTTGGGTTGGGTGGTCGGTGACGACGACGACGACGAGAGAGAGAGAGAGAGAGAGAGAGAGAGAGGAGCCTGATCCTGAATCTGGGTATACGAAACTTGGTTCTCCTTGTTAACCATAGGCATTTTCTGATCCCATCAAGACAAGATGCGTGCGGTGTAACTTCCCCAAAGTAGTCTTTTTGTTAAGGGAAAATTACAAGGCCACCCGCACCCCCTCCCCTCCCCCCCCAAAAAAAAAGAATAAAAGATTCAATGTCCTTCTCATATACCCCCTGTTGAAAAGTCTCATCCATCAACTGCCCCAAATTGACTTGTGTTTTCGTTTATGCGCCCAACCTACTTTACATCAAAAATCATGATAAATATGCCCTCCCCAGAAATTATCTAAAAAAATAAGAAAAATTCATCTCTCTCCCCTTTTTCTTTCTCTTTCCTTCCATTCAAAATTCTTCTCTCCCTATTTTCTCTCTCTAACCTTCCCAAGCTCCTTGCGTTCTAGTTCTCTCTATTTCACTATGAAAGTGGGTGACTTTTCTTAAAAAGTGAATGACTTTTCCATAGTGTTCTAAAAGATAGTCTGCCCTGCGCTTAGGCACCCAAGACACCTCTAGCCACATGCCTAGGCTTGGGTGCCCCGTTCTGGGCGGTTGTACTTGGGCTGGGCCGAACGGGTGCCTAGGGACATGGGCCTTTTTTGAATTTTTAAAGATGCCCAAAAGGGCAAAGGGGTAATTTTGACCCCCAAAAAGGTTTAAATAGGTTATGGGGGTTATTTTTAACCCCCCAAAGTTAAAAGAACACTTCCATAAGCCCTCAATATCTTAGCTATGCCTATTTTTGAGAATCAAAAGTATTTTTTGTGGTTTGAAGAAGCTTCCTAAACTTTTCTTTTCTCATTGGAATTATTTTCTCAGATGGAGAGTTGGAGACTATTACTATTAGACTTTCAAGTTTTTTAAATTTTGTATGGTTTGAATTTTGAAATTTTGAACAAGTTTATTTTCAACATTCGATATGTTGAAAAGTATGTTAAAATGTTTTCAAATGCAATAAATTACAAAATTGACACTAATGTATGCATATATGTGCGTTTGGACATCACATATATGCATATATCTAAAGAATTTGTACTACAGGGCACTTGAGGTTCTTGGTGTTGGGCGTCAGGATGGCTGCTTGGGGCCGCCTAGCGTTTTTTGAAACCTTGCTTTTCCAGCAAGTTGGGTTAGTTTTCCAGCAAGTCAGCTGGAATTTCGGGCCATGTGGGTGTGTTTTCTGACAAGGGGTCGGTTTTCTAGTGAGGTAGATGCATTATCCAACAAAGCGGGTGCATTTTCCGATGAGATAGGTCAAAATACTGACAATTCAGCTACAATTTCTCAGTAAGTTCGATCAATTTTCGACTGAGACATCTCAATTTTTTCCAGGGCCCTGTTGATTTGGAGCAGAGATGGAGGGTTTGGAACCCATTTGGATGAGAGAGAGGTACGTGGCCACCCAAGCAAAACAAGAAAAATACGACAAAATAAAATGGAATGGATTTTTGGTTATTTGGTCCATTTCAGTTCTAATATTTGGCCAAAACTTCTTCAACACAAAGGTAATGAAAATGTGGCAAACTCATCCCCATGAGATAGAACCAGAGAGCTTGAACATAGTGAGAATGGTGATTTTATCTGTTGCTTGGACACAGTGAGCTTGGGAAGGTTAGAGAGGGAAAATAAGGAGAGCGAGACACGAATTTGCATGGAAGGCCGGAGAAATTATTGGGGAGCATTTTTGTCATGAATTTTTTCTAATTTTGTCAGATAATTAATGGGGGGCATTTTTGTCATGAATTTAGGGGGTAAGTGAGAAAAAGTCAATTTGGGTAATTGATGGGAGAGACTTTTCAACTAGGCTTAGAATGGGGAGGACATTGAATCTTGGGGGGGATTGTGGGGCGATCCTGTAATTAACACGGCGATCCTGTAATTAACACTTGATTTTTTGGTGAAGACCTCAGGACCCAGCATGGCGCCTACCTTAAACAATGATGGTGATGTCCTTATAGTGGAACGCTTGTCTTCAAGGCATGGAAGAATCTATCCTGGTGATATTGTTATTGCCTGTTCGCCACAAAATCCGAACATCAAGATATGTAAACGTGTCATTGGCTTGGAAGGTGACCACATCAGTTTTCACCCAAATGTGGGCAGCAGAAAAGTTATCACTGTCACTGTATGTTTCCCTTTCGGCTTTTCAATTGTTTGCGTATTGGTTACCAATAAAAAAACAAGTTTGGATACTGGCTATACTTTCTTGTGTTCTATTCCTTTATTTCATAGAGTTTCTTGTTGCAATTCTAGGTACCTAAAGGTCATGTTTGGCTTCAAGGTGACAATATTATGCACTCCCAGGATTCTAGGCATTATGGTCCTGTTCCTTTTGCACTCCTGAAAGGGAAAGTTTGGATGAGGGTAAACTTGTTCTGCTTCACTGTCAATGCAACACTGCTTTATTTTAATGAACTTATTCTATTTAGCATTGTAAATGTTTTTTGATGGGTTTCCGTATTTGAGATATATTTTAGCTCTTTGAATTTGTGCAGTGTTGTATATTGTTGTGCTGTTGGTTCAGTTCTGCATTGTGGTGAGCTGATAAATTTTGTTTGATCAGATCCTCACTATATGAGGTTTGGGGCATAAATTGAACTAAGGAACTTGCTGCCTGTTTATGCTCGCATCATAGTGGACAAGCCCTGCTTGCCTACATTTAGAGAGTTATGCATTATGCAAATTCCAAAATAAAAAGAGATTTATGCATTAGTAGAAAACTAAGCGTATGAAATTATTACTTGAACAGGCTGCTTTGCTTGAGTGGCCTTTCTTAATGGAGGAGATCCAAAAGATTGTAGCTGACCTTGGCCATGATAAAGCACCGGGGTCCGACAGCCTCTCGGTGTCTCTTTTCCATCAATTTTGGGATACTCATGCCCCATTTACATTGGCCTTTTTCTCGAAATTCCATCGCTGGCGGGTGATTCACAAAGGCATGAACTCCACTTTCATTGCTTTGGTGCTCAAGATAGAAGGGGCTGCTGAGCTTAAGGATTTTCGGCCCATAAGCTTGCTTACTAAAAAGTTTTGCTGAATAGTCTCTATATGATATTGACAAAAGTGCTGACTACTAGACTAAAAGAAATATTGAATAGTCATTTCCCTCACTCAAAGGGGCTTTTGTCCTGGAACGCCAAATATTGGACCGTTTCGTCATTGGATGGGAAAAAGCTTATGACCATGTGGATTGGGAGTTACTGGACCTTGTCCAATCACAAATGGGTTTATGGAAAAATGGGTATCTTTGATACCTGGATTCATATCTACAATCACATTCTCAGTTTTGATTGATGGTTGTCCTCATGGTTTCTTCTAGGCATCAAGAGGATCTGAGGCAAGGGGAGCCCCAATTCCCCTTCTTGTTCGCGTTTGCAGAGGTGTTTAATGCATCCATCTAAAATCTCGACAGCCAAGGATTTAGATACTCTAGAGGAGGGTCCTAATCTCCCTCCACTACATTGACGATACCTTGATGTTTGGTGATGCAATCCCACAACAATTGGATAACTTGTGGCTGTTCTTTCGGAGCTTTGAAGTCATGACTGGAAGAAAAATGAATATGAAGAAGACTGAAATAATGGGGGTAGGGTTCAGTAAACGAATAACAGCAATACTAGCTCGAGATTTGGGTTGTGGGGTAGGAAAAAATCCGTGGTAAGCACCTGGGGCGGCTGCTGCTATGTATAGGAAATCTGGAAAAGCAGCTGCAGACTGATAGGTGGAAAGGTTTGAGGGGAGGTTGGCGTTTTGGAGGGGCAGGCTCCTCTCCCTTGGGATGTTAAAGCAACTCTGTCTAATATCCCAGTGTTTCAAATGTCTTCATCCAAGATGCCTATCTCTATTGTTAACCTGACTAGAACTCATTATAAGGGATCTTTTATCGTCTTGGACTGGAGGGGGCCAAAAACTTCAGCTTGTGTGTTGGATGCTGACTGTAAACTGGAGAGAGAAGAGGGGCTTGGGATTAGATGACTCAAAGACATAATGTGGCTTTTTTGGGTAAGATGACTCGTAGACATCTTTGGAAGAATATGATTCAGCAAAAATATGGCATGGGGAACTCGGGGTAGTTGTCCAAAAGGGGAGCCAGCAAAAGAACCTCAGTGGCCTGAAAAAGCTTTACCGAAGTGTACTGAATGTAATTCACAGATGTCTCTCTTAGTTGCTGTGGCTGCATGGATCTCTCTTTTACTTTTTTGTGGAGGCTTTATTGCTTATGGAAGGTTACAACCAGGAACATGGGTTTCCTGGTATTTGTTGATGATATTTTCATAAAAATTGATACGGTAGATGGCAGTTGCATTTCGTAAGTTAAGCCGTCGATGATGAACTTGGGTCAAGTGGGACTTTGTGTAAGGAGATTGCTTGATAACTGCTTTGTATTTATATTTATTCATACTATGGTCAGCTGTTTACGTGATCAATCTGTAGATGTGTGATCATCAAATTTCACATTTGTTAACCATGCTGCATAACTGGCTACCTGTAGACTACTCCGGGAGGTGGTATACATCTCCTAGACGGGAATTAGTTGCCTATGGCAATGCTGATCATTATGGATTTTTATATACTAGAAGAAGATCTTCGCCAGATATTGTATGTTTCTTAGATCCTCAATTTCTTGAAGGTGCAAGATGCCTGCTGTTTCTGTCCTCAGCCAAGTGGCTGGGTGAGGACCGTAGCAGCTGGGTTTTCATAGCACTACGTCTCAAGTTCCATTTCTATGTAACCTTGTCAAAAAAAAAAGGAAGTGCAAAACTTGAATTTGGTATAAGCGTCGCTTCTAGAAATTAGAATAATCATTACTTATAATACGATAAGTCGTGTTTTGTGACAAATAAAAACAGAGAGCTAGCTTGTCACTATATTTTGCATCACTTCTTAACTGGTATAATATCTTTGCCTCATATAGGTACACCAATATATAAGTGGCTGATCTTCCTACTAAATGAATGATGACATCTGGGACATAATTTTTGGGACATAATTTTTCAGTTTAGTATCACTTCATGATCTCCAATGTTATTTTGAGTACTGTTCATGATGATTGTGGATTTACACAAGGATGATTTTGTCTTTCATAAATAAGGGCAATTTAAGAATTATGTGATATCACTGGCATATTCTAGCCTTTTCTCGTCACTTGTCGCAATGACAATATATATCATCAGCCTTCTTTGTTACAATAAATGTCTGAAGAAAGTATGAACGAAATGTTCTTTTTCCAAATCCCTTTTCAAATTTACCATATTGTAATTCCCTCGTTGTGTGCTTTAGCAAGCATTTCACTAATTATGCCATGAGCAAGTTCTCTTGTCTTGCTATAATTTAAGGATGGAAACCATGTGAGATCAATTTTCTTCTTACCATATATTGTTTGTTTAGTGTTCCGGGAAACAGGTCTTGAAGGGATCTCGATTTTTAAACTTTGGGATTTCGATCCCCAGTGTTACGGATCTCAATCCTCACATTAAAGATCAAGATAATGACCAAACTACTAGTTTTCTTTATAGCGAGCTGGCAAATGCAACTATATTTTTAATATAGTTGCATTGTTTGCTGACTATAAATAAGGAAATCCCTTCTTTAAAGAGTATATATAGTTCTGGCTATAACTAAGGTTGGGATCAAGATCGCCTAAAGCTTGGGATTGGGAGCCTAAAACTTCGGGATTGAGATCCCCAAAAGGTTGGGATCTCAATCACTGACGTGCGCACTGTACGGACAACACTTGCAACTATAGGATCTTCTAGCCTTTCACAATCCCCCACTCCTGAACCACATCCCTCCCCTGGTCTGGCTTATGATCCCAACAATTATGGTAGTGTCATACAATAGGTTATACTTTACTTCATTTGTGGTAGTTTACGTAATAAATTTTCTGGATTCTTTGACAGGCATTTATCATAATGGTATTCTGCTACTTTGTGCTGGAAATCCTCATTCTCTTATAATTTATATTGCTAATAACTTTTGCAGATTTGGCCAATTGATGGTTTGGGGCGTTTGGACTGATTTTGATTATTGTAAGTTTTTCTGCCTTTACATTTTTTGTCCCAATTGATTGATTAGGTACAAATATATCTCAATAAAGAGATATGGCTATTATTAGCATTGGACAAAACCATTATGTGCATTACAAAACACAAATGCAGAACTAGGTCATTGTCTAGTTGTCTACGTCTTCAAGACAGTCAATTGGTTACATGTTTCATGTTTATGTAAAGTTCCTACTTTATTGGTCATTTTACGAAGCACACAGGGACCATTGAATCGATGCTGGTGATTTCCTTCCTCTTTTAACCACTCAATGATTGTAAATAGCTAAATGAAGTGGTCTGACATAGGTCCATTGTCTGACATCCTAGAATGCCACATCTCAGATGGTTCTCGTATTAATCTCTAACTTTTCAGTTCTCCTAATAATCATTTTATTCGATCTGTTTTAACATCTTCACTTGGCTAAATTTTGCACAGAAATAATAAAAAGTCTTTTGAAGGATGTGTGTAACTTTTACATGGTATCACTCTAGTTTTCTGGAGACCTGTTGAGCCTTGGATGATGGATCCATGAAAAAGAGAACTTTTCTACTAGGTCCACCAGACCTACAAAAGTCTAAAATTGATCATACACTTGATCCCCTCTAGAGAAGAGTAATAAAGCCCCAAATTCAAACCTTGGATCTCTTGTAGTTAAGTGTCTTTGCAAGAGATTGAAGGGAAATAGACCTGCAAGTCAATCTCCATTCTTTAGGTTGGTGTTAATTGTTGAAGCAGGACAATGTCCATATAACATTTGCTTGTTGAAACCCTTTCCCACCGTTATGAACTAAAAAATAAGTGAGAATTTTCGACCGTTACGAGTTGGTATCAAGAAGTATGATGATCGCCAAAAAATAGAAAATCTCTCAAATGCCCTCCTCAGAACTAGCAATGATGGTTTCCTTGTATTATCATGTTTCCTTCTAGAATATCATCCTTAATGTGTCCCTTGCACATTGCTGGGACATCTTTAACAACATCTAGTAATACCAGATGTATGGTCTCAGTTATGCTTGTTTCCGTATCTTCAATTGTTCCAATTTGAGCTATTGGTAGTAACTTTCTTCTCTTGCATGGAAATATGGGAGGTGTATTGAATGATATATATCACATGGGATAGCATAATTCAATATATATCACATGGGATAGCATAAATAAAGTACAGGACATACTTGGAGTGAACTATATGAGTGAATCATCTATCAAACTCAATTGGCGATAATTTATATAGAATATATTTTCCTTTCAGGTTGTGGTTTACATAAGGTTGCAACCTTTTAGAAATAAGGTTGCGATGTTCTACACCGTCCATCTTAATTGGATAGTGTAAATTTGACACGACTTTTAAGATAATATCAAAAACTAGCATGTCTCTTGAGATCGTGCCAAATCTACACCATCCAAATAAAATGAATGGTGTAGATTACTGCAACCTTCTACACGTAAGGTCACAACCTTATATGAACTTTTTCCTCTCATAATTTGCAAAAACTTCCTTCATATATTTGTATTTAATAAGAAATTCTTACTTCAGAAAATTTCTCACTAAGATTCCTATTAATTTATTCTTCAAGCGTTACTCTTTTGGTTCCATTTGCTTTAGCAAATCACTGCTACATTCCACTTCTAATGAATGAGGTATGAAGTCTGGAGTTTGGATAGTCAGTGAAGAGAATTTGAAGAAGATCCTGTATCATGTGGCTGTTGCCCAGCTCAATGCTGTGGGCGGTTGGCTGGTCAGATCATTAACATAGCAGGATTTGATTTGTTCCTTACTCATCTGAGGCTATCCCTCCTTGATTTCTCATTTCTTTTAGATGATTGAGTGTTAACTCTAGATTATGTGTGTCTGGGTCTGGGTCCATGAGATACCAGCTATCCTGGAGAAGATGAAAATGATGAACAATGGCAGGTACTTCTGACAGGTTGTCTTGACCAGATGTTTCTCCTGGTGCAGCGCTAATGTAGTTGTGCCGAGCATCTTGGTTGGTTCTGAATGACTAATGCAACCAACTGCTATCTGATTTTTTCTTCTTATAGAAATATCTTTTTTCAGGTTGAAAGCTCTGTTTCCTTGTAGTTACTCTTCTTTCCGAACAAACTCCTCAATTGAGATTCGGAGGTTATATCTGCGTATCTCAATTATTATTGTTAGTATCAGATGGTCAATAATTGGTATTAAAGGGACTTGGGAAATCCGTAATTTGACTTGTAATTCATTTTGAGTGAAAAAAGACTCAATTTTATAATCCAATTTTAGTTGATTCTAAAGGGTTCTTTTGGTCCTTGTTTGGTAGTTTGTTAAGTTCTTGGAAGAAGGAATATGTGCAAAGAGTTCAGGTGGGTGCTGCCTTGCTGTTGTCATTGCAGCTGGGGTGTGTTCATCGAGGACACATCAGGATGCTAATCAGATCTGCACATTTCTGTATTTTGGGATTAGCATTTTCTAAACAAGAACAGGTTTGACAATTTATTTCATTTAGGTTCATACACATCAATTCATATGTATTCTATTAAATTTAGGTACTCGTATGGGTACCATACAATTTTGACTACATTGAGAGTACATTCATTTACATGTCAACAAGCTTTACTAAATGCGTTAGGGTCAGTGTGATACGTTTTGCTCGTGCATCTTGTCGGTTTTCCAGACCCAGAATGAATGGCAGCTGTTCAGTATTATGCTCACAAATGAAGCGGTAATATGGGAAGAATTACTCGGTGGTGCCACCCACTTATAAAACCAAGTGTGATTGACTTTTCCCTACTGTCCGATTTAAATGAACGGCTGGGAGAGCTAAAGCATGTCAAAATAAAAATAAAAACCTTGCAACTTGCTCGCAATTGCTATTTACTGACCCAAGTAAGCCATCTCTCTCTCTCTCTCTAAAACCCATCTAGCTCTTCTTCCTAATTCCAAATCCCGATCTTCCCAGCCATGACTCTCTTCTCTAATGCAATTCCACTCTCCTCCGTTATTGGACTCCATTGCCACTTTTTACAGTGGCATGGCTAGAGGTTCCGGTGTCCACTGGTTCAATAAGATCATCCAACAAGTCTATCTTCATCAGTCTAGTCATCCAATTATTTAAGGGTGTCCATATCCATGGCCTCCATTTAATCTTTCTGATATTCCTATGACCTTAAATCTCCATACTTGTATGATCTGTTTCCTTGTCTTCCCAATCAATTTTGAGCAATTTTCCATGAGAGCGCGTATGTGATGCTCCCGTGGGAGCAATACTGTCTCTTTATTCCCGTGCAGAACAGCTATTTGGGAGGATTTTTTAATCTAAAATTTTGGGGAACCATCTATGAATCAATGAGTGATTATTTTCGGAAGGAGAAAAGCTGAATTCCAAGTTTTATGACACTCAGATCTCACCTTCAAAATATTGGATGGTTTTTGTTAAATGTTGAAACACTATAGCATAGAGGTTGCTATATGGATGTTTTAATTCATTGATGTGTGCTTAAGAGGTTACATCCCAATAATATGGAAATCTTAAAATTATTCCTAAATTGATATTACCCATGCAGTAAATGGACAATATGCTCCCGCATGAGAATGAAATCTTTCAGCTTCCATTAATGCTAGCAATATCTTTAGGGATTGTGTATTACAAGACCATTTATCTCTTTGTTACAAGGAGGTCACAACTGCTTCTAGTCATTAGATGTTAAATTGGATGGCTTGAAATGTTTCACGAAGTTCGATAATTATTTTTTTGAACCTTGAGTTTAGTTAATGACACTTTTACAACCATCCGATTTGAAATCTCATGGACAATGATAATTGTTCCCTCTTTGTATGAAATGTAAATGGTCTTTTTGTATATTTTTCCATATCTTTATACCAATAGTTGAAAACTCAGCTTGGGTTACAAACTCTACCTTAGCTCAGGTGAGCATGAGTGGCTTTGCCGAGTAGTGTAGTTATGAAAAATTAAAAAAGCAAAAAAAAAAAAGAAAGAGAGAGAAAAAAGGAAACATAAAATGAATAAAGAGCTTTGAGCATGGCCATGGGCACATGGCGAAAAGGAAAGGATAGAGATCTTTAGCCATGCATCTCTCTCACACCTCGCTACTCTCTTTGTCATGCATCTCTCTCACACGCACATACACCCCCTCTCTAAGCTTTTTGTCTGCAATCTCTCCCCCACATAGGCATCCCTCACTCTCTCTCACAAGAATCCCTCTATATCTTGTAGGGATAGAGAAATGAAAACAGTTCTCCATCCCCTTTTGAGAGAGAAAAGAAAGGGGGTGGATTTCTGGCCTCAAGAAATCGACTACATACATAAAGGGAGAGATGACCTGGGTTAGGGTGCGGGGAATCCACCCACTTTGGACAAAGAGAGCGATAAGGGGGTGGTGCCTCTCTTTTATTATGTAAGAATACAGGAGCAAGTATTGTTTACCTTACCCAGGGGTACATGATAAATAACTTTAAGAGGGAGAGGAACTTTTGAAAAATACTGGGGCAAGTATTATTTACCTTACCCATGTACCTGAGGGGTACATGATTAATAACTTTCGAGGGAGAGAAACTTTTGAAAAATAATTGTACTCCGCACAATGGTGGTTCCTTCTATTATTGCATATATAACAGTAATACAATTGCAAAAGAGGAGAACTCATATATAATTTGCAGTGTCAACACTTTTCTACGTATATATACTTTTGTCTTATTGCATTATCTCATGGTTTTTTGCATGTGTTGTGCATGATTGTCTTAAAAAGAAAATATCATTATTTCTATCCTGCTACGAGTGCTGGATCTTATTTCTCTTACCCTCTCTTAAACTCAGCTAGGGAAACATTTAAGTCTGAGTTTGAAGCAAAGATATTGAAAAACATCACGTTGCAGAGGTTTGGTGAAGATGTCAACTACTTGATAAAGAGAGGAAACAAAACGAATGAATTAATCTAAGAGCAATCTTTTTGCACATAAACTGGTAGTCTAACTTAATGTGCTTTGTCTGGTTAAAAATAAGATTAACTGTCTTGTAAAGAGTACTAAATTTTTCACAGAAAAGGCACCCTAGCGTCCTGAAGAATAAAGAAAGCCAAGTTAATTCTACCACAATGGATGCCATAGATTGTAGTCAACTTCAACACTTGAACGAGTCATAGTCAATTGTTTTTTAACATTCCTAGGTATGCAATTAGAACCAAGATAGGTACATAAACTAGTTGTTGCTATTACGAATGCTTTGATAGTTGGCTCAGCCTAGATTAGAGAAAGCGTATAATCTGCACACCAAAGGACTATATAATATTGAGATATTGAGAATGCACTTAGCTGCCTGAAAATGTGCCATTATAGGGGCATGCTTAAATTGACATTGTATATTAACTCTATAGGAAAGTTACGCCATGTTATGGTAATGGATTGGAGTCCACCTATGACGCTTCGATAAAGAAATCTATCACAATTCCCGTAAACTTTATTCTTCATTACTGTTGATGTTGAAATAGGTTTGGCACTAAGCATCTGAGCACAATCAAGAAGATCCCACGCGTATTTGGTTTGTGAATAAAAAATTCCAATTGGAAAATAAGATAGCTCAATGCCAAGAAAGTAGTGAAGGGGTTCTAGATCTTTCACGGCAGATTCCCTCCGAGTTGAAAAATTAACCATTCTAAAATATTTAAGTTATCATTTGTGACAATAATGGTATTAATGAAGAACAGAAGGATAATAGTACCTTGAGGAGAGCGACAAATAAATAAAACAAAATCAAGCATGGCCCAAGTGCTTGCTTGAGACTATATAAAACCTTTTTTAATTTGTTGACATGATTTTGATACTATCAACTAACAAAGCCAAGAGGTTGCTTCATAAATACCGGTTCCTTCATAAATATATGTTGAAAAGCATTTTTCATATCTTGTTTAATAGGCCAATGATGCACAATGGCTATGGTTATCACAATTCAAACACTAGCAGACACAATAATTAGGATTGGATGTTATAGATAAATCAATTCTGACAACCCGATTATATCCTTTAGCAGCTAGTCTAGCCTTAAGTCTCTCTCGACCACCGTCATGTTTTAGTTTAGACTTATAGACCCAAAGACAACGAACAACATTCATCCTTGGAAGATGCAATACTAGCTCCCAAGTAGAATTAACATGTAAAGCTGCAATTTCTTCTTTCATTACACAAAGTCAAACCAAATGACTTAAGGTAGACTTTATCAACTTACTTGAGCTAGGCTTTTCATTAAGAGCTTCCTAGTTTCCTTATTGTGCCTTTAGTATTTCTTCACATCACCTACATTTCCACAATGCTAACATTTCATTTTCTTCAGGCCTCTCGACTTGGATCTAGACAGGCCCCTTCTTGTAGGTCTCTCCTTTGATCTACCCTGTGCTACAAATATATTCATAGAAATTTGTAACCATACTTTTGCCTAGACTCCACTGTAAGAAGTGCTGAAAGAACGAAATTAAATTCAAGAGACTTGCACCACTAAGATTCATGATAAATCTATCCCATGATTTGAGCATAAGACAAAGTAATATGGCTGCCTTATTTTTTCATCATCAATTTTGCATTTAGTGGAATCAACTTGCTAATCAGGGCATTAAAGTCATTTAAGTGCCTTCGTAAAGAATCATTGTCACACATCTTGAGATTATAAAGTTACTGACAATGAAAATTTTTTATTAGAAAGATACTTACTTTTATAATATTTTTTCAGCTTGTCATGTAAATACTCTACCCTTTGTTTGAGGAGATATTGAATAAAATAGATTCATCCAAAGCCAAAAGAGTATCTACCTTAGCCAACTCATATTTCTCATCAAATTTTTTTTGGTCCATCTTTAGAGGTTTCTTTTATTGACCATTCATTAAATCCACCATAGGATGTCTTTTATCAACATCACATGCATTTTCAACTTTCAGGTTGAGAAATTTGAGCCATCAGATTTTTAGTTTTTATTTTGGTTGAACTTCCTCTAGCCAATATTAAAAAATCTGTGATTTATCATATATCTTGTGCCTGCAAGGATGTCCTAGGGCTCTAATACCAATTATAGATGACAAAAACTAAGGTTTGGGCAAAAATAAGAAAAAAAAAAAATAATGCAGAAAATTGAAAAAACAAAACATCAAGATTTACGTGGTTCACCGATTGTCCATGAGGTAGCGAACTTCTCTTCCACTAATAAGAAAACACCATGCAAACATGAAAAATATCCTTAAAACAAGGTTTTTTCAATACCAACCCAAATTATTGCAAAAAAAAGTCAGCTTTTCTCTTTGCACTCGTATACTTTCCCTCTGAGCTTTCTTTATAAAGAAGAAGAACATAGAGATAACACCTACATGAGGCCCTCCTATCCCATTCCTAATTTTAGATTCTTATAAAGTATAGGATTTAGGTTTCTCACAAAATAGGACTCCTATTTGCTGCAACCCAAATGCGTGACTTTCCTAATGGGGTTTTAAGTAGTTCCCTAAAAAACTAAGAAACCCATAAAAAGACAAAAAGCTTCCTATATTAATGGAACAAGGCTCCATAAAAAACTAAGAAATCCATAAAAAGACAAAAAGCTTCCTATATTAATGGAACAAGGCTTCACCATAAAACATCCTTG